AATCCTTTCCCTCCTTAATAATTTCCTGCCAAAGTCTACCAAAAGAGGCAAAATGAAACAAAAATAAGTAAAAGAAACTCGAGGGTCAAATATGTTTGAAAGCTGGTCGTCTGTTTGGAGGGTGATGCAGGTCAGTAGAACTGATGGAGTTTTCTGACTCTGCTCTCAGCAGTGCCAAGTCTGTGCTCCCCCACAGAAACAAGAGCTATTTATAACCGTTTCCCCTACCCTTCTCAATCCCTGTTCCGGCTGGACCGTAAGGGAATAATGCTGTTTAAACTGGCATGCTTTTGATGCCACCAGATAGTCTGTGTGTTGTACGGTTCAAAGGGGCGGAACTGACTGTGTTTGTTTGTGTACATGTGTGTTTGGTGTAAAATGTAATGTAGGGGAAACTGGGGCTAGTTGTCACGCTTTTTATTTAATGTTTCTTAGGTTAGGTTGTTTCTGTATAGATGTGTGCAGTAAAGAAAAAAGAAGCTCAATAGTTTTTTTATGTTTTTGAAAAAAGTCTCTTATGCTTAACAAGGCTGCATTTGATCAATAATACATTAAAAATTGTGAAATATTATAAAAATTTAAAATAACCGTTTTCTATTTGAATATATTTTAAAATGTAATTTATTCCTGTGATGGCAAAGCTACATTTTCAGCAGCCATTAGCTACAGTCTTTAGTGTCACATGATTTTCAGAAATCATTCTAATATGCTGATTTGCTGCTCAAGACACATTTCTTATTCAATATTGAAAACAGTTGCATTGCTTAATATTTTTATGGAAACTATAATTGTTTTTTTTCAGGATTGATTTTTCTATACTGTCACTTTTGATTAATTTAATGCATCTTTGCTGAATAAAATATCATTTCTTTACAAAAAGAAAAGATAGTGTAACTTTTGTGACAACTTTTCATGCATGACAGCTAACCCCTATATGTGGGCGTATGTGTACAGTATATCTGAAGGGTATAATGTCTGTGAGGCAGTTTGCATGACTTTGTGTGTATGTCCCACAGCATGATGATGCCAGATGCCCTGGCCATCAGATTGAGCTGGTAGCAGAGTAAGAGAAGAGCAGATAATCTACGCTGAGCTGTGACGGTATCCGCAAAGTCACGCACGCCGCTTCTAGGCAGCCCTTACAGTCTCTTAACCTCCTGGTTGTGCTCTGTCTGGTGCAGAGCTCTGAGAGTTTAAAAATTGACATTGGTTCCTGCTGGATTTCAGGGATAGACGTGGACCTGTGCCGAGTGAGAGAGAGAAAGAGAGGCAAGTTTAATTGCTCCATCTGCAAGAGGGCTGCAGAACTTGGCCCTGCCTGGGCCGATCCAGATGTTTTCCGGCAAGAAACATCTGAAAATGTTTAATTTCTTTCCCATAGGAGTGAAAAGTCTGTTACATGTTGGATATTTACAGTGGCAACTGCCCTGTTCCATCCATCAAGGCCGGCAGTCTCAGGGCTGCAGATTTACAGCTTTTATTTGATGTTCCGCTGCTGGAAGACCAAACACACAGCACTTGTGAACATGTAAACAGCACAGGAGTTCAACATTTTCTTAATGGATAAAAGCAATACTGTTGATTCAGACCACATTGTTTTTGGGTGTGGGGTACTGCCGTTTTGGTGAGGCTCAGAAAGACTGACACTTGCAGGAGCTATTGAAGACTTTGAGCTGTAGTATTTTGAAGAACCCTGGAGGGTCTGATGCTGTGTTCACATCATGTCCGAATTACCGTAATTACAAGTTCCCATCTTGTAAAAACCGCTTGCATCTTCGTCAAACTTTTAATTACAACTTGGAAACTCTGAATTTTATGAACTTATGTGACCATCTTGATGTCATGTAAAAACAACCAAAATGTTGAAAAACGCAGCATGAGTTTTAAGAACTCTTTCAAGTTCTGAGTACAAGAATGGTGAAAAGCCCTGAGTTATGATGTATTTAGAATATTAGAGCATTTTAATTTTAATTTATATTTATTTCTATTTTAATTTTAATTTTTCTTATAGTTGTCAATTGTTTTCCTACCAATTATTGTTAGTTTTTCAGATTTTTCAATTTTCAAGTTTAGAAAATATTGAAAATAATTCAAATAAAATTATTTTATTTTAATTGTTAAAGTTAAGGTAATAACTAGCATCTAGTAATGTTTGAAGTTTTATAATTAGCAATGTTTACTATAGTATAATGATATACTAGTGGTACTTGTACAATTTTATTATATTTTATTATATGTAATTATTTTTAAAATTGTTCATTTTTATTGTTGTCTTGTTATATTATTTTTTATATTTTATAATGATATATTTTAAATATTTGATATATGGTGTAATGATATTCTAGTGGTATTTGCAAATTTTTTAAAATTAAATATTTGTAATAGTTTATAAAAAGTAAAATAATTTCAGTTGTTTTTATTTTTATATTTAATTTTATAATTTTTTATTTAATTAAATTTTTAATAATATTTTTTGTAATTTATTTTATATTCTTTATTATAATAGTTTATAATTTTTATTAATATTTGATATAACATTATTTATATAGTGGTAAACAACAACAAATATATATAGTATTGGTTTTCCTCTGCAATTATAACTCATAACACACACCCATGTCTGTGTCCTGGAATTTTCCAGGTCTTTGCTCCAGCTGTTAGAATGTAGAACTTGGGTTAAGCTAGGTGAAGATTTGGTTCAGTTTTTAGCAGCTCCTAAATTACTGTATACAGGCCGTACTGATTTGGGTCCTTGTTTCCTGTCAGGTTTGACCCAGTTTGTTAGATTTGGCCCAGTTGGGCCAGGCTGCATGCTGGTTCTACAGTACACTGTCATCAGTACGCTGTCATCATCAGAGACACACGGTGGGAAAGTGCTGCCATGGCATTTTATAATTTCTATATGCGGTTCACCACACCCTACTGAAGACAATCACTCTGATGTGTCGATCCAAGACATTTCTCCTGCCTTTGGTTGTCACATTTTTAAGACACTGATAAATGCAGTTCTCAGCAACTTGAGAAGTGTTACATTGGGTGGAAATACTGTTTCTGTACTGTTCCAAAACCTAGTGAACTGCCTACAGAAGCAGTATTGGTTCCAACTCAAAAGCTGTCCCAAAAGGTAGGCAACCTAATTATACTGCCTCATAAGATACCTCATTTTAGCCAAGAATCATACCCATTCTGGAGCAAGCAGTTCCAGAATGCATTGCGACAAGCCCCAATATGATATTTTATCAAATATATTACCTTAATATAATTTTTCATACTGTGCATTTTGATATTGGGTTGCCTGAATTTTCTTGTAGCATTTAAAACAATTTATTTTAATGCTTTACTTTCAGTTTATTTAGACAAAATAATAAAAAACTTGAATATCGTCTATTTATTGGTTACCGTAATTCATCTTATCGATATAAGTGCATCCCTGCATGAAAACTTATAAAAAAAAATAAAAAAAATAGTCCAATGTAATTAAAATGAATAATCACACCCAGTATTTATGTACACTGTTTTATTCTTATTGATTATTAGAGAATCACCCTTTTAGCTTAGCAACCTGTTAACATCACATGTATCAAAATCAATAGCAAAATAATGTTATGTTAACAAGATGGTACCAACAGGGTAGTTTTTGGTCATACCGTAACAGAAGGCAGTTGGATGATGTATCATAATCTGGCCAGAATCACCACAGCTGTGTGTGTATTCAGATTAAGAGAGATCAGTGTCTTTATTAGAGCTGTGTAAACTGAAGAGCCTATATTACTACCTTTCCCTCTTCTCTCGTACTTTCTCGCTCTTTCTTTCCCTGTTGTTGTGTGTTATGGCGCTGGGTTTGCACTGGGTTTGTTCCAGCTGTCATACATTGCCGCCAAAGGGTCAATAAGGTCATCTGTCCCAGTGAAACCCTGGAAGGCGGAGGCTTACAGAGGCTTATTCCAGTGATTCTGCTGTAATTCTAGGTTATTGACAGTGTATATTTTCATATATGCTGTGATATTTCCTATGTCTTCATTATGAGCATACTGCTAGTAAAAATGTACCAATAAGTAATGCAGTTTTTTTCCACTCCATTTAATTCTTAAAAATATATTTATTTTTAATGAAATAATTAAAATATGATTTTATTAAATTAGTTAATTATTTATTATTATTATTATTATTAATTATATTATTTCTGTAATTAATTCCTATAATCCCACGGGGGAGTTTATCAAAAGTTAACACATTTTTCACGTTTGCATGTTATCATTGAAGCTCAAGTAGGAACCTTTTTTGTTAAATATTAAGAGTATTTTTAATCTACTTTGCCTTCTATTGACATCCGTTACGGCCGTGATTGTGCATCTCTCGGCAAATTGACAGTTAGATTAAGTTAGTGGGCGGCACCTCAGTGACTGTGGCCACCGTTCTGAAAATCATCTATCTTCAGGAAATGATGAAGGCCTCTCCTTGCAGTGGGAGCCGTAACCCAGATACAGTATGTAATTTGCCCATACGTATGCGTCTGCGGCGCTCTATATTAAGGCCAAAAGTTCTTCTCATTATCAGAGTCCCTCATTACCTGTTTCTGTCATCTCATGCTCACAGGATTTGGATTTATACCTGATAATTACCTTCTATATAAAGCGAACCAGAAACGGCCCCAGCATATACACCTGAAGCATGCCCCAAAAATGCCTCAACCCAGCACTTGGAAAAATATCGCACGCGTCAAAACATAAATGATTTACCGTGTGTGAATGAAAAGGGTCACTGTTATGTAAACTTAGCTGTTTTATTTAGGTCGAATAGGTGGTAAGTGATGCGCATAATGTGTGCGTGTGAGTTCGAAATCTCTTTTTCTAGGCTGTTTTCCATATGGCCATCTTTAATGGACTCGTCATTGCTGCTAATGTATGCAAATTTCAACCTGGTTGCTAATGCAATTACCATGCCTGCGGTTCCAAGCGCACGCAATTCAGTTATTGTGTTTTTTTTCCTCATTGTTTCAGATCGACGCCTTGAGTAAAAGAAGTAAAGAATCAGAGGCTGCTTTCCTCAGCGTGTACAAGAGATTAATCGATGTCCCAGGTATGTTTCGGCTCACTCTGAGCTGGCTGCTCTCTCACACACACACTGCTGTAGTGTTTCACTGAGGCGAGAATACTGTAAACACATCAGTCATATTTATGAGACCTTCGTCTCTAGTGTCTAAAACACACACACATGCACGCGCACAGGCCGTCTTAATGACTTCTACGGCTTTAGAGACCCACTTCGTTCCAAACCCCACACACGGAGGAACTTGAATTCTTATAAAATCCGCATTCATTGCCCCACAAACACCTTTTAATCTTCCGAATTGGCTTTTTAACGGTGAGATAATGGCCCTTGGATCCTCAGTTTTTATATGGTAATGTTCTGACGCGCTGATCTATAATAAGTTAATGGTGCCGCAAAGGTTCATGTGACATCTCGAAGCATCTTTAGCTCGGCCGCTCGATAGAGTTGTGCTTTAGACTGAGCGAAGTTCACCACAAGAGAGTGTGGATAATGTATCAAACCCCTGTTAAGCAAGTGCGACTGTGGAGTGTGGTGAGAGAGATGAATTCTGGCTGAACTAAACTTCAGCTTGGGAAACCTTCAGACCTCCCTCAGATACACACACACACACACAAATCTAGCTGTGTAGCTCCGCCCACATCTGCTGAGCGACAGGGAGGCAGACAGACAGACAGTGCCGCCTGGGCCTGTTGGAGCAGGTTGGACTGTCTGCCTGCACAACTACTTAATACATCCCTAAATTACCACAATGCTGCGGTCTGGAGATCCCGGGCCAACGCAATGGCGTGTCTGTGTGTTTGGAAATGTGCGCAAGTGCAGTTGATTACCTTTTTTATATGTGTATTTTGTGTATTTGAGAGGGAGCTGTATGTGTGTGTGTGTGTGTTTGTTGCAGGATGTTAGAGTTGGGAGGTCTAGTCTGGGAATGTCTGTTTCAATCTGTGAAATCTGGAGCTTGTCCAGTCCTGTCTGTGTGTCTGCGAATGTGATCACAGCTTGACAAATTATCTTGTGATAGTTACACTGGTACACCCTGTAGGCCTGCGTGTGTGTGAGCGTTGTGGTGTGTGTTAGCGGGAATGTTCGGAAGTGTTTCAGGCAATTTAATGCCAACATTTAACTTATTCACAAGACTGATATGCTGTATATAAAATACATTGTGAATATTGTTAAGTTTCTGAACTCTGATTGGATGAGACGCATTAATGTAAAATCCATGTAAAATAACTTAGACAGGACCAAGTTTTTTTTTTTTTGATTCAGTCAGGCTAGTAGTTCATTTTTACTAACCGCATTTTCACTTTTTTTATTTTAATTAAAAATGTTATATTGATATATTTTTATATATTTATATATATTATATTTATTTTTACTATATTTTAGTGGTGGCGGTTGCTGTTAAGTAAAACTGTTAAAAATTCAAAATGGCTTTTGTTAATTAAAGTAAAGCTGAAATAAAACTAAAATTTAAATATCTAAAATATACATATATCAATGCTATAAGATATATTTTATATTATACACACACACACATATAGAATTTTAGTTCTGTTCACACTGAGTTTCAATATTTATGGGATCACAATAGGGTTGGGCGATGTCTACCAAATTGGCATCGGACGATGTCTACAGTGAAACATTGTGATGGACGATGACATCGGGGGGCGGGGTTAGGGGTGTGCCCGAAGCGTGTAACAAATAACGCGTTCTACGGAGCCACTAAAAGGTTAGCCGCTTGCTAGCAGTAGCCTGTTGCATTACAGTACATGAAAGTGCACTTACCACATACACAGAGTAAGGAGAAATGTCTGATAGGACGATGGCGAATGATTTGCAGATCCTGAGCACCAATGACAAACATCTAATCTTGTCAAATGTGTGGTAAGTACTGCCGCTCCATAGTATAGAGTCCGTGTGATCGCGAATCTCAAAAGTGAAAGTAAAATGAGAGCGCGCAATTGAAAGTGGTTTCAATAGCGGCTCCCTGATGCCCGCAATTTATATACAGTCGCCTATACTTACCCAACGATATAATTGCGAAAAAAAGTATTGAATAATTTTTTTTATCCTCCCATCTCGTAGGCTATTTATTCCCTTTAGGGTTTCCGTAGTACACTTCATTTCCTTTCCGAACATGGAACTGGGATGCGGCGGATTGCGGGAGATGGGGTGGTGGGGAAGGAATCACGATGTCTGTCAGCCATCGGCGATGGACGATGGCATCGTCTATCGGCCCAACCCTAGATCACAACTAAATTCACTCCTAAAAAAGTATATACTCTGTACTGTGTATATAAATATGAGATGATATATGTGTTTCCTGTTTACACCCACAAGATGTCAAAACATTGCCATGATAATCACTAACTTTTTTTTTTTGAAAGTTTCAGGAGTGACTCCAGTTGTCTGTTCACACTGTAACAATACTTTAGAGGATTCACTCTGCTTTTAAACACAGTTGTTGCTTTCACTTTAGGGTTCAACTTTAGGTTTATTTTAATGTTTTTTATTGATTTTTTTTGCTTTTAGAGACTGAATGTGTCTCATAGATGCTGTAATAGATTTTAAAGCATCTGAATGTTCCCACTTGTCTTTTCTTAGTTTCCTACAGTGAGGCCGCCCAGCACTTGACTTCAGTTTAGCTTCAGACGCCAACCTAACCGATTGTGCTTGCGGTGTTGTGTTGTACATCAAATGACACGCATCCAAATTGATGCGCCTGTGTAAATCAGATTTGAATTGGCTGGTCATTTCAGTCACATGATGACAGTCACGTTCAGAATTGAGCGACGCGTGGCCGCCCATCGAGCCGAGTTGAGCTGAAATGGCAGTTGCCACGGCTACAAAAGGGAATACACCATGACAGCATATCATTCAGACTTCCTCTTGCAGTTTTTAGATATGACACACTCTCACGCACCACACATGCACATCACACATAACACACCCCATCAGCATTTCCTGTACCTTCAGATGAGAATACAGAGAGGGGGCGGGATGTGCGCCGAAAACGGCGATCTCGACTGTAGCTGCACATAGAACGTGTACAGGAATGACATGTTTTATTTTACACTCCTCTCTGTCAGCTTTTCCTTCTCTGATTTTACTCTCACAATCTCTCTCTCGCGGTCTCATGTTCCGCAGGGGCTAATAAAATAGTTTGATTACATAATTAACTTGGCTGTCTCATTAAGGAAAATCAACGGGAACAGGGCCATAATTAGTCATATAGCAATTAGCATTTGAGGGGGACAGACAGTGATAAAAAACGCGCGTGTGTGTGTCAGAATGTCTTAGTCCTTCAGTACGGAGGGCTGGCCTTGGTCCCACACCACTGCTGCGTTCGGCCCCCCTTTCACTTAGCATCGCCTTCCCTTTATGAAAGCAAGAAATGAACACCCTGCCAAATATGAATTAGTATAACTTCTTTTACAACCTGCTAATCTGAAATTTCTGCAGCTGGTGATTGTTGCCGGCATTTGAATGAATCAATTTGTCAACCTTATTTAATTATTTATTCATTTTATAAGAAATAATAAATTATCATTTTTTTCTATTTTTAATTAAAAACCTTCATTTAAAAACTGCATGTTGTGTTCACTTGTGTTATCTTTGACTAATATTTAAATTTGTTTGATGAACTGAAACATTAAAGTGTGACAAACATGCAAAAAAATAAGAAATCAGGAAGGGGGCCAACACTTTTTCACACCACTGTATATATATTTGCTTTATTTTACCTAATGCAGGTTTGTTGTGGTGGTTACACAGATGTTAGATTATTTTTATTCTTAACTTTTAAAGGAGACGTTTCATTTTTTTATTTCAATATATAATACATTTTTTTTTGCGAATATTCAGTAAATATTGTGTAAAATTGATGTGCATTTAATTTTAGTGTGCATTAATTAATATTATTATTTATTATTATTATTTATTATAATTATTATTTAGTGCATTGTTGTTTTTAATTACTATTGTTAGTGCCTTGCTCTGGCAGCAAATTGTGATGACCATGGTACATGTCCAGAAAACATGGTACTTGCGTGGTCTCTGTATAAAATCAGTGATAACATCATAGTTCTTTTTGGTTCTTTTTTGTTAGCGTGATTTAACAGAGCAGAATTTAAACCGATGTACTGGAGCACAGTGTGGATTTATTGGCGTGTTTTGGCTTGGTTTGTTTTTCTAGTTAACATTTTTAGCTGCGGTTGGCAATCCGCAAAAATGCAAAAACACTTTTAGGTATTTAGTCGAGCTGCACAGAGACTGGCCCACACAGAGCTCTCACTCACTGAATCGAACCTTTCACCTGCTCTGAATGCAGTACACCCGATATTCTGACCTGTGTGTGTGTGTGTGCGGATGTGTGTTTCAGATCCTGTCTCGACTCTGGAGGCAGCTCAGCAACTCCAGGTGACTGTTCGGAAGATGCACGACTTGGAGACAGAAAACCAGAGGCTCAAAGATACACTACAAGAGTACGAACGCGAAATTGCAGAGGTTAAAAACCAAGGTAACCACCAGCTTCTTAATGCAGTTTGAAATGGAGAAAAACAAAACACATTTTCCACAGATTGAAACATGTAGAACTTCAGTCGCCTATGAAACATATATTTTTGGTCACATTTTATTTTAAGGTCCAGTTCTCGCTATTAACAAACCATTGACTACAACTTTTGCCTCAATAAACTCCTAATTTGCTGCTTATTAATAGTTAGTAAAGTGGTTGTTAAATTTAGGTATTGGGTAGGATTAGAGATGTAGAATATGGTCATGCAGAATATGTGCTTTATAAGTATTAATAAACAGCCAATATGTTAATAATAGGCATGCTAATAAGCAATTAGTTAACAGTGAGAATTGGTGGAGAATTGTTTTTTAGTACTCTTTGACCGATGAATAAAGTTCAGTGAACAGCTTCTATTTTAAATATTTGAAACATTATAAATGAAACATTGTATGTGTCTTTACTGCACTTTTTTTTATCAATTTCATATTAATTTATTTTTTATTTTTGAATCTTACTGACCCCAAACTTTTGAATCGTAGTGTATCACATTCCACAAAAACGATTCATATAATAATATTAAATATTACAATTCAGCTTTGCTATAACAGGAATAAATTACATTTTTAAATAGATTCAAATAGAAAAGTTATTTTAAATTGTAATAACTTTTCACAGTATTACTATTTTTTTATGTATTAATCATTCTGCCTTCTTTTCACAATCAAATCCTAATGAATAAAATCAAGTTGTATTAAATACCTACATTACTTCCTGATGAATCAAAATTCACACATAATGGAAGTTTGTAAGCATTTTTATTTTGTAAAGCAGAATTTATCTGCACCTAGCAAATTAAATGAGTTACGCATATGTCATGTTGGCAGGCCGCATAAGTGTACCCACATAGACAGGGCCCTATTTTTGTTCAAATGAGCTGTAGTCATCTGAGCTCTATTTCTGTCCCACTGCTGTTTCAGCCAGACATGTTTCCTGGTTTTTCTTTTTTTAACGTAAACAAGAGGGAGGGATTGCTCCCTCACCATCTGTGGAATTCCCCTAATCGATGCAGTTCAATAACGGCAATATTTTATTTGTCCCGCACGAGCCGTAGGTACCGCCACATGCGACCTCTCTGTCGCAGACACACGGGTATGTGTACGTGTACACACACAGGTGTGTTTCCGTCTGAGCCGTCCATTAGGTAATCCTTCCTATTCCACACGCTGATCTTTCTCAGGTCAGTGATCCTCCAGTCTCCCAGTGTTTAAAGTCCAGTTTAGCATTTAAGGGTCTAAAAGGGCTCTTGTGGGACTGCTGCTCATTGATTATGTGTCAGCGCTGAAGTGCTGGAGTTTAAATCACCGCAGATGGCTGTGCAGGAGACGGAGAGAGGAGGAAAAAGCTCTCTATCAGGGATATTTTGTGTGGATGTGTGTGTGTAGGCATGTAAACACACATTTTTCTATCATAGGGGGGACTTTCCCTTGACTTCAGTTGTTTTTATACTGAGCTAATGACATTTTCTATCCTCTTACCCTCATTTATAAATAATCAAAAATGTAACCCTCTTGATTTAGCATTTATTTTTTTAAATGAACATTTTAAATTTAAATGAAAATACAATTTACTCACCTGGAACCGTTTCAAACTCAAATGACTTCCTACCTACCGTAGAACGGGAAGCAAGCAATTTCAAAGAATGCGCTGGTTGCTCTTTTCCATGCCATTACAATGAATTGCTATTTGAGATTTCAAGCTTCAAAAATGATGAAAAGGCTCCAATAATGTATGATAAAAGTAAATGATGACAGATGTTTCATTTTTGGGTGAATTGTTCCTTAAAGATGTAATTTGGTATGTTTATTAAGTGGTTTTCCTCTTTGCCGATTTCAGGGTTTACTATCCTTGGGGGACTGTTGGCCCCCACAGTGTAGACAAAACCTAAACCCTACACACCCTTAGGTCTCCACTGTCTGTCATTTTCATGCTTCTCTCTGTTTCTCTCCTACAGAAGTCACTATTAAAGCACTTAAAGAGAAGTTGGAGCAGTATGAGCGTTCTCTGCAGGCCAAGAACACAGAGGAAGCTCCCGATCAGAACCAGGACCGATCAGGAAGAGAAGAGAGGGAAAGCAAAGGGGAAAACCTTCCTAACAACTATGCAGACAAGGAGAGGTTAGCCTGACCGTTGCACAAATCCAATACGCCATTAATCTTCATGATTGCGTTATGAATTCATAGGCTGTTTCGAAAACTAGCAAGCTGCCTTCCTAGATAACAATTTTGAGCTTTATATGTATGTTTGAAATGACATCCATAAACACAGAGCTAGCAAAGCATTTTTCATGAATCATAGGTGCCTTTGTAACTAAATTCTGAATACATATCTAAAATAAAAAAAAACTAAACTTATTTAATTTCCCATTTTCATTTTGTTTAATTTGATGCCTAACTAAAACTGAAATAATAACTATAACTAAATATAATAACTAACTTAAAAAATAGATAAAACTAATAAACACTATGAAGCTTACTTTGAAAATATAGCTGTTTGTCCACATCAGAAATATTTAGTCATTAAACGTTAAAAATATTATACAACTCTCAATTCTATTTTATCTGTTTTCTTTTGTTTATTTAAAAAAAACTTGACACTAACGCTTGCACTGTATTTTATTTCTATTCTACTACTTGTTTTCTTTTTATTTAAAAAAAAATGGAACCTCTAACAATAGCGTTCTCTATTCTTTTTCTATTCTTTCAACTTTTCTTTTTATTTATTTAAAAAAATTACCCTCTAACACTAGCGTTCTGTATTCTTTTTCTGTTCTTTCATCTTGTTTTCTTTTTATTTATTATAAAAAACTATGTGCTACGTGTACTGCCTTAGACTATCTAACAGATTGTCCCAGCATTTACATATTATTGCTCTTTTGTTGGTTTTGATTGCTTCTATTGTCCTCATTTATTAGTCGCTTTAGATAAAAGCGTCTGCCAAATGTAAATGTAATATCACTGCATCTGGTCATTTATTCATATTCACTGCATCTAGTGTTTATTCATATCAATTTGCAGTACTGCGGTGTTAATGTGGCTATCCTGTCTGTACATTAATATATGTTGGGAGATTTGTTTTAATTGTCCTCTGCATGTCTATGCAGTCAGCCACAGCAGAGCCAGGACAGCAGGACAGAAGACTTGGACATGAAAACGCAGTCCTTACAAACAGGTTTGCTAATGCATTCACCGTCAAATTGGGTGTTTTAACAATTACATATGTGTCATTTGATGTAGTTGAGTTCTTTAAGCCTGTTTTACTGACATGCATTTAATTTGTTGCGCAGCACTTGAAGCAACTCAGGCAGAACTCCATGAACTGAAGACGAAATACGATGAAGAATCCACAGCAAAGTGAGTAACCCATTTTCACTCTGATGGGACACAGCAGGAGACAGTGTGGATTAGTGCCGAAATGGCTTGAATTCCCCGTTCTGTATTTCCTCAACTGTCTGCTAGGCGTGCTGCGTCTTTGTCTCACCTTTGCACACATATTTACCCACATTATGTGTCCATACAGACACAGACAAACACACACCCCTTTGATCTGCACCAAAACAGCTCATAATCCTACTGCAGACAGGTTTGATTATGGGGGGAAACACAGTGTGGTGAAATCACACCTTCATTCATGGACAAGTTGGTATTCAATAGTCCTCACGTCCCGCCCATGATGCCTTTATGGCTACACAAGACTGAATAATGGATGACACAATCCCTCATAACTCGCACGGATGCTCTGAGTGATTCTCTGAGAATCCTGTAATGATGGGATTCGTACTATCGACTGACATTTTGTGGGCGGCGAATCAGTATGTGCATACGTGCTTTTTGTTTGCGCATTGTGTCTGTTTGCCTTGATCTGGGTCATGCATGTGTGTTTGTGTGCGCCTGCATGTGTGCGTTCTTCTCTCCCTGTCATGTGGTCGGGGTTAGGTGGCAATTTCCTTGTCTTGCTGTCAATGAGGAATGCATCCTGTTGCAGAGCGTGCTCGCTGCAGGCTGTTTCGACGCAGTTCTCTGCTCTGGGAGTGGCATAATTACACTACCTGTGATCAAACCAAACCCTGCCATGCCAGACCCCCAGCACTGTACCTTTGGTGAGCTGCGGTTGAACCAGAAGGTCAATGCAAGGTTTATTTGAGGAAAAGACACGCTTCTGATTCTACGATCACTGCAGGCACGGATCTAACGAGAGATAAATCTCACTGTCATGCTTGCGCACAAACATTTGAATATGACTGTGTATGTGCACACAAACTTAAACAAGAAAGACACACACACACACACACACACACAAGAAAACGCATTGTGATATTCAGTAACATTGGCCTGTTTCCATTCGGCCCCATCTCTCCTGGGGACTATTACA